GTGTTCATTGGGGTTGGTAGGGTGGAAGGCAGGGAGCCCAACAGTAGGTGGCGCCACAGCCAGTGACAGGCAGAACAACCTAATTCTAGGTTTGCCCCAATCCTCCTCCCTGCTGAGTTCTACAAGGGCAACCTGAGACTTAAGGAGGAGAAAGCTGGCAGACACTGCCCTTTGGAGTGGTTGCAGGTAGGAAAGGAAAGCAGGTGGGGGCTGGCTGAGGGCACGCTGAGGTTGGTGGGGCAGTGCCCCACTTGCCCTAATGGAGTGGCCACCAGGGGCAGGGTAGTTGAGCGATCATCAGGTTCAGTGCCTGGCCAACTGCACAGACTGCTCTAGAGGTGAAGGAAGCTTGTGTAGGCACGTGCCAGAGTTGGGGCCTTCCTGAGAGCCAGAAAGGGGCAGAGTTTTCACCTGTTATATAGGCTTTCAGTCTGAGCCAGGCTAGTGCTGAGACATTAGCTCCTGTAGGGTGTGCTCCAGAACGTGGTAATGGATGCACCTGAATTTATGTGAAGCAAACTTGGAAGTGGTGTCTTCCAGTGAAGGGGCTTACTGAAGCACGAGCTGCTGAATCTGGGTCGTCGTCCGTCCCCCGTCCCTCATCCTCCGTTCATGTATTTGTATTTTGTATTTTGGCTGGGGGGACTTGAAAGCTCTCTTACCTCTGGACATGGCTGTCCTAAAGGCTGTTGCCTGAAGTTTTGAAAAAGTTCCCCCATCCATGATATAAGCCAATGCAGCCTGCAGGTGAGTCCCCATGAGGTCTCACATCCAGGCTACTTTACCAGGGTGGTAGCCTTTACTAGGCTGACATAGCCTGGGCCCCGAATTGTCCTGAGTGTTTCTGAGTAACAGATTCAGAGGAAATCAAAAGAAGGGTGTGTGACTTTTCATGGTGGCTGAGTAGGATATTATCAAGAGCTTTGTCCTCCCTGATTTTGCCTATGATTTTGCTCATGAGTAGCTCTCCGGGTGATTTGCAAACTTTCCCTCGCATACAACCCCTGCCTGAAATGAGCAGCTGATGGGACCTTGTTGGAAGCCTTTGCTGAACGGGAGCTTCGTCCCTTGCAATGTGTCCTCCGATCAGGAGAAGCAAAAGGTCTCTAAAAAGATAAAGCATATTGGGTTTCATGTCAACAGCCCGCACCCCTTACTTTTGTTAACCAGCAACAGCCAGGCCAAAATAATTAATCAGCTGGGAGAGTTTTTTCCTATGATCAGAACCCCACGCGCAGTTTCCCCTCCGAAACGCGTGTGGCGCGTTAAAGGCGCGAGGACAAACCCAGGAAAGAAAGGTGGCAACTCGCAAGCGTGGATGGATGCCTGTTGCGAAAGAGAGTATTCTCCTCCCGTCCGGAATTTTCATTTAGCAATAAAATTTCTGCAATTAAAACACCCTATCCATAATCAGATCCTTTTACTCCGTGTTGATGAATCTGCCACGGGGCCGCGCTGCTTCACAAGTGATTTGTACTCCACCGTTTCAAGCTTCTTTCTTACTAAAGATTTTTTTTTTAAAAAAAAAACAAACCCGTACGTGCAACAAGCAAAACATGCACTGCACAGCACAGGCGCAACTTTGCTAGTATGGATGGGAAACCCGTGTGAACCCGGGTCAGCGATCACAAAAACCTGTCAAAGGAAAGAGGTTTCCAGCTTCCCAACCTCACCTCCCCGCTCCGTTTTCGTCTTCAACCTCAACGTCTTGCGAAATAGATGATCCGTGTAAAGCGGTTGTGAGAATCCGCGTCCTACAGGACAAAGAGTCAAATGCAAGTTCTTTCCCTGCCTCATATCTCTTGACCTGAATGGCAAAGCAAATCAGCCTTCCTACGCCTCTACCCAAGAAATCCAGGGGGCTTTAAAGACACAACAGACTTTTTACTCATTTATTTGAGGAATAGCTTTCCCCCCTCTAAATGTTTTAATATTATATCTTTCTGTACCTAAAACATCTTCTTAGGGGACAGCGAGGCCGGAGATATTTAATTTCCCCCACCCCCACCCCCGCACCTATCGATTGCGAAGTTGGTCCTCTCCAGCCAGTGGCAAAATTACCTTTTGAGGAGGGGAAGAGTGAGGATCTCAAAGGGGACGACTGAGGAGGTGCTGAGCTGGGAAGACTTGCGGGGAGGGGGGGGGCGTAAATTTTAACCTCTGAGTCTCTAATACGTCTGGTTTCCGTGTTTCTGTCTAACTCCCTATATCTATCTGTATTTCTGTGTTTATCTATATGTGTGTATTAAGTTGTATACAGTGTGCATATGTGTCTTACTCCACCGTGTATATCTGTGCATAACTATATATTGCGTGTCTCTTTCTGTGTGTCTCTCTGTATCTAACTTCCTGCGTATCTCTCTAAATAACGTGCGCGTACCGATGTGTATTATCTAACTCATCTAATTCGTTCTCTCGCTCGTTCTCTATCGTGTGTGCGTGTATACCTTTGTGCATATCTATCTAACTAACTCTCTGCGTGTATCTAATTGTGTATGTCTAATTCTCTTTCTGGTGGGTGTGCGTGTGTGTCTGTCAGTCAGTCTGTCTATCTTGATGTATGTGCCTCCGTGTTTCTTCTATCTCTCTCTCTCGTGCGCTTGTGCGTCTCTCTCCCTCTCTCTCTCTGTATCAACTGTTCACAAACTTTGCGCCCCTAAATCCGAGTTTAAGGCGTTGCTTTTAACCTATTTCAGATGTCTGTGGTTCTGTTTAATGACGCCGCCGCCGCCGCCGCCAATAATAATAATAATAATAATAGAAATAATAGAAATTCTGAGTTCCTTTCCGATTTACATATCGGATCCTCCCTAAGCGAAAGGTGGCCGCTCTGAGGAGCCTGGCAGTGCCCGTTTTCCCCTGGGAAAGAGACTCCCGATTACCTGTTCGGGACTTGCAAACCTGGTTCCGGGCTGCGCAGATGGCTGCCTGGGTTGTTTTTTTGTTTTTGTTTTGTTTTTGAACCCTCTATTCTCTCAGGGCTGTGTTTATGCCCAGGGAGAGAAATAGCGCGTCGCCCCTATAATCTGCTTCTGTTACTGACGCTTAGAAAAGTGGGGGGTTTCGGGGAGAAAATAAAATAAAAATGTTTCCTACTGGGGTTTTTTCAGCCGTCAATCAAATCTTTCTCGGTCCCGTAGCCTTCAGCCTAAAAGGGCAGATCCTGTATTCCGCCGGAGAGTTTTAGGGATGATGCACTTTGCGAAGCTTTAAGAAGACATCCTAGACCTGGACCCCTGTCTCGTAGGCGCCTAAACGGATTTGAAAGCGTTTTCGCCTCTTGATCCGGTTTGAGGCAACTTAATTGGTGGTGAAGGGGAACCGATCCGTATCTAATTATCATTGGTTATAACGATAGCCGTCGACATTATCATTTTTGGTATTAAAGAGGGGAGGGGAGATTTCTGTTCTGAAATGTAAGAAAAACAAATTGCTTCTCTCTCTCTAATCTAGTTCCACTCCGGATTTAAAAAAGTGGGGCGGCGTTATTTGAAAAAGAAAGAGACTGACAGATTTGGAATATTTGTTTTTATTTAGAATCCTTGGTTCGTTTCTCGATCATCCTCAAAACGTCAACTATGAAAAAACATTTTCGTTTTTAAAACGAAAAAGCGCGTATGGTATGCGTGAGACAGATAAAGATTGTTGCTTTTAAAAAATCAGCACACGACCAGGACATTCTGTATTCTCACCCAGGTAATTCTGTAAGGCTAGTTTTTTTATTATTATTCAGACGTTCCCGTTTCTGCCGCTTAAAAGCGGTTCCGAGCAGCGGATCCACAGAGCGGCTTTTGCGTTCTTTCTGCCCCATCCATCCAGCTAGGTAGAGACGTTCTTCGAACAAGCTCCAGCGCTTTAGAAAATTCCTCTTGACCTATCTGCTTAAAACAATTTCTTCTGTAGTCTCTTATTCTCAATCTCTCTCACGCCTAATCCTACACTGAAATTCTATCTGACTTGCCCTTCCTGAACAACCCTCAATCTTTGCGTGAGAGCGCGCGCCCCCGAGTTTCCTATGGGGACCCAGCTCCCCCTTTTCCTTCGCCGGGCGTCCCCGTCTCTTCCCAAAACGACCTGTGTCCATAATATCTGGCGATCGGATTGGGAGAGAAAGCGCTTGGGTGGAAACGAGCGTCCAAAGAAGCGCGCGGATTCCCGTCTCCACTAGCTCAGAAACTCTTAGGAAGGAATCGAACATGTGCTGTGGATTTTGTTAAGGGAAGCAGGATTCGAGATTTTGAGGAGGTCTGCGTAATATTTGGGAGCTGGGGCAGGTGGGAGAAGAATCTATCTATATTTATTCATACTGTTTCAAAAACATAAGAGGACCCCTCCGATCTGCGCTGTCTCTCAGTTTCCAACCCAAGCGCAGCGCGCCTCGTCCATTTCCCGGGTCAGTTTCACGTCTAAGATTCCCAGTTCTCGTTTTCTCCTCGTTTTCTGTTTCTCGGCTGGAACGCCAGCCGATCGCTCGCTCCTTACACCCCTGGGCGGGTGTATGGAGGCTCTCCACTTGCCCCATTAATGAAGACCTACTTCATCCTAGCCTCAGTATTCCCTTTTTTGCGCTTTAAGAAAAGACCCCTCTTTCCAATCGAGGGGGGGGGGATAGATCCCCGGACCTTGCAGGTGCGATGAGATCTCTGCGTGTGCCAGAATCCTTTCCTAGATTATTATCAACATTATTATTTTAATTTTTAAACTCTCTTCTCCTCTCTAGTCCTCCCGGGAGTTGTTTAAAGAGGCTGGCAAGGCTTTTTGTGTGTGCCAGGAACCTTTGGAAATAGCAGGTGTCGAAAGATGTGATGCTCTCCCCCCCCTACACATCGTCCTGCCTCTCTCTGTCTCTGCCTCCATTGGTGGGCTCAGGGTGGGCTAGGAAAGGCAGACTCTCCGCCTCTCCCTCTCCCCCCACCTCTGCCTAGATCAGCTGCCCCCACCCCCTCTAAAGGAGGAGGGCCCCCCTCCCTCCTTCCCACTCTCTCCCTTTTCTCAAGCGCTGGCTCCTTCTGGTAGAACAAGTCTATCTTGCGACGTCAGGGTGGTAGAGGAGGGGGGGTTATTAATAACCAATTAGAGGGGTCATCGGAGCGCATATATAGTACCAGCCCTCAGGATCTGGGCCCAGAAGACTGTGTTGCCACTTGCTAAGCAGGCAGTGGCTTGGGGGTCTCCACTTGCTCCTGGGACAGCCCACCTCTCTCTCATTCTCTCTCTCTCTCTCTTTCCCCGAACAGATCAGAGCCAGCTGCCCAGGATCTCTGACCCCCACGCAGACCCCAGCTCCAAGCTTGCCCCCCATTTTCACACACACTCCCACACACCCCAAAACCTACCATCTCCCTTGAAGCCTCGCCCCACCTTGTCCTTATGATGGGCTCCGTGCTCCCCGCGGAAGCCCTGGTCCTCAAGGGGGGGCTGAAGGGGCCCGGGCTCTCACTGGCCGAGGTGATCACGTCGGACATCCTGCACAGCTTCCTCTACGGCCGGTGGAGGAACGTCCTGGGCGAGCAGCTCTTCGAGGAGAAGGCCGCCGGGGGCTGTGGCGGTGGAGGCGGAGGAGGCGGAGGAGGAGCGCACAGCAACCCCAAAACGGCCTTCACGGCGGAGGTCCTGGCTCAGTCCTTCTCTGGAGGTGAGTCTATCGCTCTCAGAGACCTCCTGGAGGGTCGGTGTGTGTGTGTGGATAGAGGTCTAGAAGGGTGTGAGAGAATAATTTCCAAGCTCAAACCTAACCGTGTCTACTCAGGAGTAAGTCCTGTTGCATTCAACTGGTCTTGCTTCCAGGTAAGTGGGGTCAGGATGGCAGCTGGAAAGTTTAATCCCAGTCGTGTTTGCTTGGGAGTTAGTTCTATTGCATCCCTTGGAGCTTACTCCCAGGTAAGTGGGTTAGGGTTACAGCCTTAGGAAGTTTGTCTGTTTTTTTAAAAAAAAAAACCCCGAAGAGGGCTATAAACTGAGTGTTGCATTCCTGGGCAGTTCAGCGGGACTCCACGACATACTTTTTGGGAGGGGGGGGGGTTTGCCTTACATGAGGAAAACTGAGGCGAGCTTTCGAAATCTCTCCCACTGAAACCGGACGCGATGAAGCCCCGAGGTAGCTCTCGACAGTATTAGCTCCGCCTAAACAAAAATGTGCCTTTATTAAGAAATGCCCTAAAGGCATCCCATTCCGCCTGTGGATTCATCAGGGATCTCTTTTCCCCAAATCTGCGAGACACAAAGTTCTTTTAGAACCCCTGGCTCACAAGAAAAACGTGCTGAGTAATTTCCAGCACCCCCTCTTCCGCCCCTCATTTCACATCTTTCCCCCAAAGCATCGGTTTTCGAAAATAATTTTTCCCCCCTCTAACCAACGATGCGTAAAAGTCTTGCTAAAAATAATCAGAGTTTCTCTCCTTGCACTCTCTGCAACCCCAGAAATAAAGGGAAGTGCGGTAGAGGTGGAAAGTCCCAGGTTCAATCCACAGTGTCATTTCCTGGTAGCGTTGGGAGAGACCTCATGGAGAGCTGCTGCCAGTCAGTGTAGGCAATATTGAACTAGATGGACCACTGGTCTGGCTCAGTAGAAGGCAGCTCCCCACGTCCCTACTTAAATCAAACTCGAATTCAGAACCACGAGGACTGGAATCTTAGTTCTTTTTAAGGGGAAGGCTAGTAGCTCAGTGGTAGAGCGGCTGCTTTGCATGCAGAAGGTCTCACTGGCATTTCCAGGTAGGGGGAGAACCATGTCTGAAAGCCTGGGAAAGCCACTGCTAATCCGTGTAGCCAATATTGAGCAGATGGAGCCAGTGGTCTGAGTCAGTCTGGAGGCAGCTTCCACAGCAGGCGCTGTAACTCCCCAACAGTTTCATTTTACTCCACCGTAGCATTCTCTTCCATTGTCCCTCGAGATAGAAGGATGCCGGCAGCAACAGCAAAAGTATGTGCTCCTAGAGGGGGACGGATGGGAAGTAACTTACCTGTCCTCAAAAAGAAATCTAAAAAGCTTGATCAGGTTGAGATCTCCACCCCACCCCCACCCCGAAAAGGAGGAAGTAACAGGAGACCTTGATTCGCTCCCCCAGGAGAAAATAAAAATTTAAACCCCAAAACAAAATAAATCAGCCAACACATCCAGCTTCTGTAAAAGCCTAATAGACCAATTCTGAAAGCACTCTGATACTGGGATTTTCCCATCAGTGTTCTCTGAATGGTCTCCAAAAACCTCTCCCCTCCTTCTCCTCACCCGCCCTTTCAGAAGAACTAAACGCATACTTTTCTGCCCCTCAACATAACCAGAGTGTAAATTTGTGCCATATTCTGACCTCCTTCCCAAAGATGTTTTTAAATCTATCTTTTAAATATATATATATTTAAAATAATCCTTTTCTGCCTTTCTCACTCCCTGTCTTCCCCTTGAATTTAGCTCTTCACCCCCCAAAAAGTATGAGCCTCATTCTCTCTCTCTTTGAAAAGCCTTTGGCATTTAAATTCTTATTAGGCGTGTAATAGCAGCTGACTGATAAAGGAAATTTTAAATTCATTTAGTTAACTTGGGCCTGACCTGAGGGCCGGGGTGGGGGGGAGAAATTCCCACTTAAACCAAGAACTTTAAAAGGGCAATTTGGGAGGGGGGGTGGAGAGAAGAAGAAGAAAGGGTTGATGGGGGGGGGGTCACATTTTTCTTTTTCTTCAAAATGTCTCAAGTGCTTTCCCCTCATTCATCAATCCTAGGACGGTCTATTTTCCCTGCTGGCATCTCCGTGACTCCCTGCTTCTACACTCCCCCCACCCTCCCTGGAAGATTACTGTTCCTTTCTTAATTTGCCATGAAAACTCCATTCTGTGGCCTTTCAGGGGATGTCAACCAGCTAATCTCTCCCATTTTGTCCAGAGAAATTCCTGGGCCTTTTAGAACAAGTTTCTGAGGGCATTCAGGGCCGACCATGGACGGGCAAACAGCGATCTCCAAAGGCTAATGAATTTAGAATTAGTGATTTTCTATCCAAGGGACTTAAATGAATGCAGATCACTTTAAACAGTGTGACAAATTGCTTTATGGAGTGCAATGGACACTATTTAACCCTCTCCACCCTCCCCCCCTCCAGCCCAGGAACCCCCTTGTTCCACATCCCACTTTTTCCCAGGTTGGCTTAGAAAGGGAGGCTTGTAAAAGATTATGCACCAGCTCTCCTCCACCCCGTTCCATGGGGTATATGCACCCCACAGGGCCTCAGTCAAGGGGCGTTGTGCTGCACACCCCATCAATGAAGATCTGTGAGTGAAAAGACTCTGTGTGTGAGGTTAGCAGGGGCGCAGTTTAGAATCCCCAAAAGATCTCTGCTTGGATCAGGCCAGGGGTTCTGTCTAGTCTGGCGGTCATGTTCTCACAGTGGCCAACCAAATGCCTGTGGGAAACCAACAAGCACACAATTTTCAACTCTGGACATGATGACTATTTGCCTCTGTGTGTGCTGTTTTGTGTTCCTGCAAAATAAATATGTTTATTTCCCCAGAATAACAAGGACTAGAAACTTAATTTGCTTTTAGGGCAAGGGTCATAGCTCAGCGGTAGAGCACCTGATTTGCACGCAAAAGTTCCCAGGTTTGACCCTGGATGGCATCTCCAGGTAGGGTTGGGAGGGAAACCCTGTTTGAAATTCTGGAGAGCTGCTGCCAGACAAGATGGAGCTACAGCATGTGGAGCTTCCTGTGTTCCTCAGCTCAGCTGGCAATGTGCATTAACTTCACTTAGCTCCAACTGTGGCAGTTATACATTTGAGGGGTGGGGACTCCAGCTTATTCTGCTGAGAGGGTCCCCAGACAAGTCTTGCCCTGATGGTGCCACTGATGAGGGGGAGGGTGTGCAAGCCCACTGGAAACAGGTGGGCCAACAGAGCTGCTTTGAAACAAAAAAAGGGCCCCATGAATGTGGACGAAAGAGAACTGTTTTTCTCACTGCCCATGCAAGGAACAGGGCAAGACTTGCGCACAGCAGATGTCTAGACCCCACTCAGCAAAATGAGCAGGACCCCACTCCCAATGCAACAGGGACGTACCTTGTTTTGAGGTCCCCATAAAACTATTTAGTTCAGAGTTGAATCATACTTCAATGCACAACTGGAACACAAACATTGCTTGTATACCAGTCCAGATCTTAGGACTATCTAGCTCAGTATTGCCTACACTGACTGGCAGCAGCTTCCCAGGGTTTCAGATTGGGTGCCTTCCCAGTTCCACCTGGAGATGCTGTTGGTGACTGAACCTGGGATCTTCTGCACTCAGAGCAGATGCTTTGCTGCTGAGCTGCAGCCTTTCCCTATAACTAATGACCTAGTCCTCATGGTTCTGAATAAGCAACTGATTAAAACAAAAAGTGATGTCTTACACTGAATCAGACCCTGGGTCCAGCTAGCTCAGTATTGTCTACACTAACCACCATCAGTTCTCCAAAGTTTCAGGTGGGGCATCTTCCCTGCCTTCCCTGGAGATGCCATTGTGGTGGGGGGGGGTTCAGCCTGGGCCTTCTGCACTCATAGCAGATGCTCTTCCACTCATCCACGGACATTCCCCCTTCCCCTGAAGTGGAACTTAAAGTTTCAGTGGGGACATCTTAACCAATTGGTTAACCAGTGCATACTTTTCCTTGAGAAAGCCACACCCAGGAGCCCCCAATACTCTTGCTTATATCCAACAGTGAATCTACTCTGAGTAAAACTCAGTGGGCTATAATCCTCTGCCAACATATTCCATGATGACCCCAATTCACAGCTACCCCAAACATCTGCACACCTCTCTAAGTTGGCGAGTGAGGGCCAAGTGATTGTGCTTTTGGGGTCTGTGGTTGGGTGGTGTGGCAAGGGGGACCTATGTGTTCCACATACCCTCACATGGGCATTGTGTTCAGCATGATTTGTAGATGTGTGTCTGTGTGGATTATCATGAAAGCATGTGCATTCCTAGTATGTATGGTTGGTTCCTGGCAGGGTTCTGTGGGGTCATCAAGATAAGACTTTGAGGACACTCATCAGAGTTCCACTCAACAGAGAAGGGTCCCCCACACACAACAGTGATGGTTTGTGACAATTGTGTGTCTCTGTGTGTTTGTAGGGTGTGTGTGTGTGTGTGTGTGCGCGCGCGTGCGTGTGTGATGGGCAAATTGGTAACTGGCCCATTTCCTGAATGTGGAGGCTACATTTTCGGAGCGTAAGTGATTTTAAGAGCATATAGGGAGAGCCTTGATGAATCAGACAAAATGGTTGATCTGCTTTAACATCCTGTTTCCAATGGAGGACAGCCAAATGCCAGGTTTAAAGGGACAGCCCACCCCATTCTTTCTTCTTGGCACCTGATATTCAGAGGTAAGCATTTTTTTAAAAAAAAATGATTGCTGTAACCTTATGGCTAAAGAATAACGCAAATCTCTTCAAGAGAACATAGCTTGGAAGCACACCGTTCCTCCACGTGTTATGCTGATGTGGCTCACGCTATCACCTGCTTTTGTGGTGTGCTGAGGTGCGCTACGGGTGTTCAGTGTTCATTTATTTTATTTTACTAATTAAATTTGTATACCACCTATCATCTGTAGATCTCAGGGCGGTTCGCAAGATAAAATACAAAATAAAAACACAACATGCATAATAAAAACAAGAACAAAAACCACAAACCAATAACTGTCCCTGCCCAAGCATTTAAAAAGCATGTAAGATGTTAATCAGCCCAAGGCCTGGTTGAAGAGGAAAATTTTTGCTCGGCGCCTAAAGGTGTATAATGAAAGTGCCAAGCAAGCCTCTCTGGGGAGAGCGTTCTGTTATGTGTATAGGATGTACTTTGTTATAGAGACAAGGCTTGAGCTGTAGAATCCAAAATATGTTCAAACATTACTTACAAGTGAGGCTTGTGATAAAATGTTTGTTGGGTATTCACCACCCAGCCAGCCACCCATGCCCTTCACCATAATACTCCATTCCTTTCCTATTTTTCTTTCCATTAGCTTTATTTCCCATGGCACTCATTTGTACACAAGAGGGATGTGCCTCTTTCAGTTTTCTTAAAATGCTTTTCATACTTCTGCAAACTTCATATTGGCTCCACTTCTGGATCAACAGCCCTCTCTTGTCTCCATTGCTGTCAGCACTCACCAACTGTGTTGGCTTCTTAGCTGGAGAAGTCCAATCGCCTCTTAAAAAGGGACATGTGTTTGCAGCAGGGACTGCCATGTAGGTTTAACAGAGTGTGTTTTATAGATAGTACAACTGTTCCTGTGCCGTCTTGCACTCCTGGTTTTTGATCATCTACGCACTGGAATGAATAGGCTGCGTTGAACTAAGTTCTCACTCAGGGGATAGATCTAACATAGTCAATCTCTCTCAATTTAAAAGGGCTTACACATGCGCACACACCCAAAACAACAACAACAACAACAACAACAACAACAACAACAACAACAACTCTCCGCAATTGCACCATACTTTTAAAGCACATTTAGTACACATTTCAAGCACATGGCTCCCCCAAAGAATCATGGGAACTGTAGTTTACCCAGAACCCTCCACAAACTGCAGCTCCCAGGATACTGGGTAGGTGGGGGAAGCCACATGATGTAAAGGTGCATTAAATAGGCTTTAAATATACATGGTGGGCATGGCCTGTTTAATCCAAGTAGTGTGATACTTCCATAATAATGTAACCTGGACAAGTCTCTGCCGCAGGGTGCTTCTAAATTTAGACAGAGAAGGAGATGACAGAGGAAAGGTTTGAGAATAACGGTGGTGGTGGGGCTTTGAGCATGAGTCAGTGCACCCAGTTCTGTGATGCATTATGCATATTGATGGGGCAATGAGTGAAATCTCCCAGAGGAATTTATATACATTGGGTTAGGCTGTGTACACACTGTACATGCAAAGCACACTAATAGTAGTAGTAGTAGTAGTAGTAGTAGTAGTAGTAGTAGTAGTAATACCAGAAACTGTAGTTTCTGAAGGGTGATGGGAACTGTAGTTCTGTGGGGGGAAACTACAGTTCCCAACATTCTTTTGTGTAGGCAAAGGGGCATCTGTTCACAATTCCTTCATGGGTGTTCCCTTTGTGTGAATGTGCACCATCCTTACATGTCTTGTGACCCCTTTAAGAACTGAAAGCCTGTCTAGAAACCTTTTTAGAAACCAACAAATCAAGAATGGATTGGGTTTTACACTGGTCTTTCATTTGGGACCCAGTATACCTCAATCCTACTTCTTCCATTGCAGCACCCACAACTTTGGAACTCCCTGCCCATTGACCTCAGGTAGCCATTTTTGCTGTAATCTATTTTCAGCGCCTGCTAAATATATTTTTATTTAGGCAAGCCTCCCCAGAGAGACATATAATGTGTCTTTCAAACTGGTTTTTAGCTTCTCCTTGATTTTAATTATTTTTTTAGGTTTCAAATAGTTGCTTTGAACTGCTTTTTTAAAAAACTGATCATTTCATAATTTTATAAATTGCTTTGTTCTTCTTTACAATCAAGTGGCATATGCATAATTATTCTTCCAGCCTGCTCCTATAGCCCTTAATGCAAAACAGTAATGCAGCCATAACCCCCTGGTATTCTCCAGAGACTCTTGGCTGTATATACGCTTCGTCTTACTATGCATCCAGAGCACTCCCTTCACTGGTTTGGGAAGTGGTATACACAGTGCTTTTTTTCTTTTAAAAAAATATGTTTAGGGGTACTTTCATTTCCCCACTCATATTGAAATACTGCCCCTCAATGAGGCCAAACTTAGATTCACAAAATGTTTAGGAGTATGCATACCCCTGCGTCCCCCCAGAAAAAAGCACTGGGTACACACGACATTAACCCCCATCCATATCTATCCTGTCCTTTCTTAGGAAATGCTGCATTTTGATGTATCGCCCTCTAAAAAATCCCAGATTCAATCCAAATTGTGAAAAAGAATGGTCTCAGTGCATTTTAAGCCAGTAATGTGTGCACACAGCACCAGCCTGCTTTAACACCAAACACTCACCTAAATCAGTCCCCAGATCGAGTTGCATTTCCAGCTTGGGTACCACCAGCACAATTATGCAATTTGCTAGATTTCTGCCTGCACTGGAGAGGTGAGTGCATCTTTTTAACCTGCCTCACCTTTAAAAAAGCATCTCTTCGAAGAGATGACAATGGAAGCAAAGTGGCAATGAACTGGGAGAGAGCTCTCGGTTTCACTGTCAGCTGCTCATATTACTGGCACACAAGCCAGTTGCCTTCCTCCCACTATGGAGATAGTGAGATATGGGATCCATTTTCCCCGGGCTCTTTTCCTGACCCAACCCAGGTGTTCTGTGTTTCTTTTCTTGCATCCTCTGGACAGTGAGAATTGTGAAAGGGAAGGCAATTGCTGTTAACCCTGATAGCTATCCTCTCCCACCACTATCGGAGGCAGCAATGCTTCTGAATGCTGGTTGCTGGAAACCACAGAAGGGGACAGTGCTCTTGAACTCAGGTCCTGCTTGTGGGCTTCCCGCAATGGGCATCTGCTCAGCCCCTGTGAGAACAGGATGTTGGACTAAATGGGCCTTTGCAGAGCTGTAGCTACAGGGGGTGATGGTGGTGTGAAGCATTCAGAGGGGCACCATTGAGGCTCTCAGCCTGTGTATGTGTACACAAATGTGTGTGTGTGTGTGTGTGTGTGTGTGTGTACGCCAAACTGGGCCTTTGACCCAGGTGAAAATAAAGCCTAGTTTCGCCTCTGGATCTTTGCCTGATCCAGCAGTTGGGCTCATACTTTGGAAGATACGAGCAACCAATTGCATGATCATGATAAAACACTGAATGGCTGGCTCTACCATTAGGCAAAGTGTGGTGTCTGCCTTAGGTGGCTGATGCGAACGGTGGCAGTAGCAGAACCTCAAATCATGATTTTGAGCTCCCCCACTGCCTTTCAAATGCCCAGTGTACAAAAACAGGTGTTGTTTTTGGGACTCCGAATGACAACTCTATTATGGTAGTTCTGTTGTTCTTCCCATATTGCAAATTCGGGACAGCTGAGTTTGAGAAAAGGCATGGGGGGGAACCCACTGATGTTAGTGGAATTTTTAACCAGGAGCAAGAACTGAGGATTGGTGAAAATTCATGACAAATCTCTCAGCTGTGCTAACCATACCCTCAATTTACAGAGGCAGTATAGACGAGATGTTCGGAGATGACAGACTTTGCCTTTGCAACCTGCTCACAAGGGCTCAGAGACATCTGCTGGCCACTGGCGGAAATGGGATACTGGGCTGCTTTGATCCAAAGATGAGGCAGTTCCCATTGCTCTGTTCCTGCTTGCCCTGAATGCTGGATTACCCAAAGGGCAGCCTAAGCATGTTGCCTGTTGCGTTTCCATTTTTGTAGATTCTTACATTTTGCAACACAGGGGTTTGTGCTTGTTTAGAGCTCTAGTGAAGCAGGGGCACCAATAAAAAAGGAGAAATTTTTGAAATAATTTGATATTTCTAAAAAACAACAATTGAAGTACAGTAGTCATCAGAACTTTGTGGACTTCCTTACACTCTATTCCACTGAATTGTGTTAACTGGATTTTGAATAAATTTGCAACTAATTATTGCTGTTTTGAATTTTATTGTGTTATTAGCTTAATCCTTAATGGGTTGTGCAAACTGCTATTGTGAATGATGCTTTTTATAGTGTGGGACGGGGAGCATTTTGGGCTCCCCAAAAAAGTTTGGGAACCATTGGTGTAGCTTAACTTCTTTCTCTCCCTCCTGTTTCTCTTTCTCTCCGACCCACAGAGGTCCAGAAGCTATCCAGCTTGGTGCTGCCTTCAGAGGTCATTATTGCCCAGAGTTCCATCCCTGGAGAAGGGCTGGGCATCTTTTCTAAGACCTGGATCAAAGCAGGCACAGAGATGGGACCTTTCACTGGCCGGATCATCTCCCCAGAGCATGTGGACCTTTGCAAAAACAACAATCTGATGTGGGAGGTAAAGAAGCAAGGATGTGTCCACATGAGAGAGGAGGGTGGCTCTTCTTGGAACGGGGTGGGGAAGCCATAGCTCTCCAGATGTTGTGGGACTCCAACTCCCATGAACCCCTGCAGCCAGCATGGCCAATGGTCCAGGAATGATGGGCGTTGAAGTCCAACAACATCTGAAAGGCCACAGGTCTTCTATCCCTGAACGAAGAGATGGGATGCAAGAGATGGAAGAATGCCTCTTTTTTTAACAGGCATTCCCCCCATTAGGAAGGGGAAAGAAGAGATGCTAGGGATTGAACCAGGGACATTCTACATGCAAAGTGGATGCTCCAGCTCTGAGCTACGTCCCTTTACTTAGGGTTGCAGAACAGCCCATAATATGTATACTTGGCCTTGTATTTCCTTTTATCCTCCCATTCCTGATGACAGAGATTGAGGCCATTTGGAGCAGCAAACACTCTTAACAATGGCCTAGTCTACAGCCCACAATTTCCACAAATTGATGCTAGTCCAGTGTATAAAAACAGGCACACCTGTCATAATAGAATGACAAGATCACAATGCTTCAAGTGTGAGTGATATGCGCTTTGATTTCCAGAACAAATAAAAGTTTATTCAGAAGTCTGCTGAGAGACATCCTGCATTGCAGGGGGTTGCACCAGATCATGGGTAGGCAAACTAAGGCCCGGGGGCCGGATCCGGCCCAATCACCTTCTAAATCCGGCCCGTGGATGGTCTGGGAATCAGCGTGCTTTTACATGAGTAGAATGTGTCCTTTTATTTAAAATGCATCTGGGTTATTTGTGGGGCATAGGAATTCGTTCATTTCCCCCCCCCCAAAAAAAAAATATAATCTGGCCCCCCATAAGGTCTGAGGGACAGTGGACCAGCCCCCTGCTGAAAAAGTTTGCTGACCCCTGGGCTAGATGAACATCAGGGTCCCTTACAACTCTCCGGTTCTAGGATCCCCGAGTGATTTCTGAGTGGTCTGCTGTGTGTATGTTTGAGAGCTTCCATCTTAGATTGCTTGAAAAGAGGATTAGAAGTCAATTGATGGTTATGAGCCGGGCTAACTAAATAAAACCAACCCATTTATTATTTTATTAATTAGTTTTTTATACCACCTTTCATCCGAGTATCATAGGGTGGTTTACAATACAAAAACACAAAAATACGTGAGATAGTAACAGACAAAAACAATACCCCCCCCCAGTTTAAAAGGCCATAGAACATTTAATTAGCCAAAGGCCTGGGAAAAGAGGAATGTTTTTGCCTGACGCAAAAGGTGCCAGGGGAGCTTCCCTGGGGAAAGCCTTCCACAAATGGAGAGCCACTGCAGAAAATATACATTCTTGTGTTTCCACCCCCAAGGCCTCTTGTGGCTGAGGCAACAAAGAACGGCTTTAGGTGAAGCTTGCAGGGTCTAGAGTGGTTCATATGGGGAGAGGCAGTCCTTGAGGTATTTAGAGACATTGTACCTGAGAATATCACTTGCGAGGTGGGCAAACTTCCAGAGGCATTGTTGCCTTCAGCATCCATTTATGGGCCTTCTCAGAAGACTCTATGATTATGAACTAATGCAGCTATTAGGAACGCAGGGAATGCCTGTGGGAAAGAATGAGTCAGAAGGAGGCGGTGGAATGGATGGATGTCACACAAGCAGACTAGGTTGCCATAGTAGACATGATATAAGTGTATAAATTTATGCCTGGCATGGACAAAGTAGATAGAGAAAAGCTTTCCTTCCTCTCTCGTGATGCTAGAACACATGGGCATCCAATGAAGCTGAATGTTGAAGGATTCAGGAAAGATCAAAGAAAGGACTTCTTCATGCAGCTCTTGGTTCAACTATGGAGCAAGGCTATCCATGGCTACCAGCCACAATGGCTAAATGCTCTGCATCCATGGCCGGAGGCAGTAATGCTTCTGAATACCCAGTAGCTGGAAGCCACAGGAAGAGAGGGTTGCTGTTGCACTCGGGCCTGTTTTGCAGGCTTTCTGTTGGAACATCTGGCTGGCCACTGTGAGAAAAATAAGTTTTATGTAGGGTGCAGAAAGATTTAAAAGCCCAATTTTTAAAAAACCTTGATGCTCCTGATAATTTTCTACAACTTTTCTAACACACTGGTGACACCTTTTCTGGGGTGGGATAACTTGGATGCATCTTTTCAGATGCGGTAGGTGGGTGTGATTCATGGACTGAAACCCTCTTGCCCTTCTTTCCAGGTCTTCAATGAAGATGGAACTGTCCGTTATTTCATTGACGCCAGCCAAGAGGACCATCGCAGCTGGATGACATACATCAAGTGTGCTAGAAATGAGCAGGAGCAGAACCTGGAGGTGGTCCAAATTGGGAACAGCATCTTTTACAAGGCCATTGAGGTAAGGGTGTTACGGACAAGGGAATGGCCGAGAGCAAAAATACTTGCCCTCAACCTAAGTTGCTGATGCTTCTTCAGACTTTTTATTATTCTTCTGGTGCTGGGGAGTTCAATGTAGAAACAGAGGACTGAATCCAATGTAGCGCCAAGGGAAAGCAATTTACTGGTATACTTGTTTTGCTGCTGAAATGCAAAGGAACTTTGTCATTAAACTAGGATGGCTTTAGAAGGGGATTGGGCACATTTGTGGCGGGTAGAGCTATTCATGGCTACTAGCCACAATGGCTATGCTCTGCCTCCACAACCAGAGGACGTAATGATTCTGAAATTCCAGTTGCTGGAAACCACAGGAGAGAGTGCTCTTGGGCTCAGATCCTATTTGCGGGTTTCCCACAGGCATCTGCTTGGCTACTGTGAGAACAGGATACTGGACTGGTTGGGCCACTGGCCTGATCCATCAGGCTCTTCTTTGAAATCTCGGAAGCCAGAGGTGGCAGCTCTATGGAATTCTTATTGGAAATTGTATTTTGTTGTGGACTTTTAGGTGTTTGACACAATATGCTTTCCCTGTACAGGTTTTTATGCTGTCTTTGATTGGTCAGTTAGCTAAGTATTTTTATTTATTTACTTGATTGGTGGGGGGAACTACTCCCTACCCCCCCCCGGCTATGCCCATGTTAAGAGGCTATCCATTTTTTAGTTTTGCCTCTTATATAAGGCGCAGCTGAGAACATCTCTACATAATTTCTATAGGAGAATGGACCATTAGGGCAAACAGGGAGGTGCCCCATCAACTTCAGTCTGCCATCAGCCAGCCCTTACCTGTCTACCTTCAATTTAGTCCATGGAACGGAACTGGCTACCAGCTTCTTCCTCCTGAGTGTCAGAGTTGCCTTTGTAGAACTCAGCCAGGAGGAGGAAGATGGGGAGAAAACTGGAATCCATCAGCTCTGCCCCTCATTGGCTCTGGCACCACCTATTGTTGCACTTCCTGCCTTACACCATACCAGAGTCCAACAACATCTGGAGGGCTGGAGGTCACTCAGCTGCTGGCTTTAGGTGATCTATCTGTTTCACTTTAGTGGACAAGTGAAGCTTTGCAAATGTGGGGAAATGCTGGAACCTGAAGTGAGCATCTACCCCTGCAGCATATTCTGAAATGCAACACACACACACACACACACACACACACACACAGATGCAAACACAGCCTACGCACACCCAAGTGCTAAGAATAGTTATTACACGCCATCTTTCATGTCTGGGGTTTTGTCTCCTAATGTGAAAATGATAGTTAAGATTTTAGCAACACTTGTAGGTTTATTTTTGGGGAGGGGGAGGTTCTTTTCTCCTGCAGAAGATCTCTCTAACGCCTTTTGCCATTTTGCTACTTAGCTTTCGTAAAAGAAAATAACTGCTCTCTGTGTGATGTAGTGGAATGCGAGGGTGTTTTTGCAGAGAAATTGCACCACCTTTCTCTGCAAAAGGCTGGTGTAACCTTTTCATCCAAGCCTGGAAAATGTTTCTTTCTTTTCTCTTTTGTTTGGCACCAGAACTGATATTACAGTTAGCACTGGGCAAGCCTCGGTGAGGAGGCTGTTCCCAGAAATGTGGGGAGGCAGTGCTAAGGAGGCCCCCTCTCTGGTCACCTGATTTCAGATAACCTCTTGTATGTAATGGATATTTCAGAATGGAGAGGATGCCTGTTTTAAAATGATGCTTTCCATCTACAGTTTTTATATATATTTTAAACTGCAGCTGTTTGCCTGTCAGAAGAGGCTAGCTCCTTTTCTATTTCAAAAAGGCTATCCTCCTCTACTAGGTGCAGCCAAAAGATTAAACATATAAATAATAAATAAATAAATAAATATCTCCCGCCAGAACGATTATGGCATGTCTTAGATTATCCTTTTTTCTTCAACTGATTAATCTAATTCAAGGGTGGGAAATGGCCCTCCAGGTCTCGCTTTCTCGCCCTTGAGCTCTTCTTATAAGGGCCATATCCCTCAATGGCCTTGCTTGAGGGAATTTGAGGTTTGATAATGCCTCTTCTGGTTTCCTGGATGGAGGACAGAGAAACTAGCCAACAAAACAAAGAGACATTTTTACATGCATTGCTCCATTCACTTTTCCCTCTGGACCCACCTACCACTGTCATGTGGCCCTTGGAAGGTCACCCAAAATAGAATGCAGCCCTTGGGCTGAAAAGTGTTCCCCACTCCTAATCTAATTGGTTAAACATTGCAGCTCTTAAGCACAGGGACTGACACTTTGGACATATCATAATGTAGAATAATGGTTAGAAGGGTATCAGCACAATCCTCGCAACAGCTGACCAGACGCACCAGCAAACAGGACCTGAAAACAAAAGCTCTCCCCCCTCCTGTGGTTTCCAGCTACTGGCACTCAGAAGCATTGCTGCCTCCAGCCATGGAGGTACAGTCTACCCATCGTGGCTAGTAGCCATGGAGAGCCTCCTCTTCCTCCATAAATTTTTCTAACCCTCTTTTAAAGCCATTCCCCCTCTTTTCTCTCTATAGATGATTCCTCCGGATCAAGAATTGCTCGTTTGGTATGGGAATTCCCACAATACCTTCCTGGGGATCCCTGGAGTGCTGGGACTTGAGGAAGAGCAGAAGAAGAGTAAGCACGGTGAGGAGATGGTTGAATTCTGCTCAGGGTTGGCATTGTATAAAACTTGCCTTTCTTAAGATTTCCCTCTGCCAGTTTGTGGGATTTGCGGGGTGGAGTGGGGAGGAAGTGGGAATCAGTCCCTCCTGTTTCTCTCTCTCTTTTTAAAAAAAATGTGAAGAAATCAATACAAAACAAATACAAAAAGCAGTGCAGTGTATCTGAGAACAGACTTAATAATAGGTTGGTAAAGTACTTAAGACCACCAGGAAAGTCAAATTCCACGCTGTAACAAGGAGAGGGAGTCTCACGTGTCTGATGCACATAAGATGGTACCCCACCAAACCACACAGAATTTTTCAGGGTCCTTTGAGCATTTTGACATGCGATTTATGAGTTATTCTTTTTCCAGCTGATGCTCAGTGCCACATATTTTTAATACCATCTGTTGTAAATGTTTTAGGTATCCCTGGGGGGAAAGAAAGGTGTAACCATTTTTATCCTGCAATGCAGACATGCACTTTAATTCTTGTTGTTCGTCAGTTGCAGCATCACAACCTGTGTGTATGGGGGGGAGGAGGGATAGTCTCCTGATGGAGGCCCGCTACTTTGTATCTTTTCAGGGGAAGCCTTTAAATAAAATTGACAAATCTCTTAACGTTTAATCTTGCTGCTGTGTTTCAAACGAATGCATCAACTGGACCGCTGCCATTTTTAATGCTTTTATCTTACTTTGCTGGGGCTTGCTGGAATGCAATCCCCCCTCAAAATATTTTCTTATTTTCACTTATTTATACAAGAAGCGACACTCGATATTCAGCAATTCCTGCCTCCTGCACAGAAGCAACAAATATCTAGTTAATTACATTCAACTTTCAATTTATAAACAAAGATATCACTCTGCAAGTTGCCATATGTCCTCGGAGGCCTGTAACCATGTCCCATTAATGTTGCATACATAATAAAACTATACCAGGTTTCTTGCCTGTTTGACTCTCTCACATATAGGTTGCCAGTTTGTCCATCGGCATTAAGTTCCAGAGTTGTGAGATCCAGATCTCAAACAGGTCTGCACTGATAGAGTCTTCCAATAAAAATCCAGGGCATAATTGTGCCCACAGTAGGTCTTTGAAGCTATCAAGGAGAAGTATTTATAGGGGAAAGGAGAGAAGTGGTTTCTAATTTTGGGAATCTGAGGGCATGCAATGAATTTTTAAAAGATATTATTTCATTCGGGCTGTGTCTTTTTAAAGTTTTCGTTCCTGTTGTATATAGAGTGGTACTGATGTTGCTGCACGACCCTCCATGATAAATATTAATTGCATTGTTTATTTCATTAATGACATACATATAGAATATGGGCTTGATCCGTCCCCATCTGTGGGCTCACCTGCTCCGGGCATGAGTAACTTCCAAGGTAGGGTGCTCCTTGGGAGACGAGGGATGGCTGGAGGGGGTGAACCGGAGGGTGACTGTGACCTCCCGTGTGCAAAATGGCAGCCCCTGCACTGCACATGAGCTACTGAGGCCAGGCAGGGTGAGGGAAGAGGGCTCCTTTGTGGGGATGGATCAGGCCCTATAGGATTATATAATTTTTTATTAAAATCAGGGGCTCAATATCTCATTGTTTACTTCAGGAGTGGATTAATGCAATGCGCTCTTGGGCCATCCCTCATACTTGTCCCAGAAGTTGCAATTGGTGCAGAATGCTGCAGCATGATTGCTGACAGGAGTGAGGCCATATCAGCATATAAAACCTGCGCTCAGAGATCACTGGTTGCTGATTTGCTACCAGGCCAAGTTCAAGGTGTTACTATTCGTATATAAAGCCCTTAGCAGCTTGTACCCAGCTTACCTGCAAGGTCACAAGTAGGCCCACTCTACTGCTTCAATCTGCAGAACAGGCCCTGTTACAGGAGCTGCATAATACTCATTCCAGATTTGTAAGAAATCAGATCTTTTAGCGTGGCAGCACCCACACTTTGGAACTCCCTGCTTAGTGATAACAAGCAGGTGCTTTCACTGTATTGTTTCCAGCACCTGTTAAAACCATTTTTGTTTAGGCAAGCCTACCCAGACACAAAGAAGTGGCTTATAGCTTCTTCTTTTTTTTAGTTTTAAATTATTGTTTTAAACATTTTTTTTTACTGATGATTTCATTATTGTAATCTTTTTCTAAACGATTTTGAGGGTGTGTTTTTTTAACAATCAAGTGGCATATAACTTGTAATAATAATAATAACTTTCACTCACCACCAGCCTTCTGAGTACATAACATGTAGGACTGCTCTGTAAAACCTTTTCATCTCCTGAAAAGGCATTCTTCTTCACCAGATTTTATCTAGAAAGTCACAACCCGAATGAAATAATATCTATTCCCCTCACAGCGCTGCAGCTATCACAGTGGTTTAAACCAGGCATAGGCAAACTCGGACCTCCAGATGTTTTGGGACTACAACTCCCATCATCCCTAGCTAACAGTACCAGAGGTCAGGGGTGATGGGAATTGTAGTCTCAAAACATCTGGAGGGCCAAGTTTGCCTATGTCTGGTTTAAACAATTCCTCTGGGAATTGTAGCTCTGGGAGGGAAATAACAGCGCCCTGAACAAACTACAGCTCCCAGGATTCTTTGGGGGGAAGCCATGAGTGTTTAAAAAGCGGTATGAAACTATTTAAAATATATAGTTACAGATGAAGCCTAAGTGTATAAAATGATGTTTTGTTTGGGAGTGGGGTTTGTTGCTGGAAATAACCTAAACTTCTCCCTCTTGTCCATTGCCCCTGCAGAGGACTTCCACGCAGCTGAAGCAGGTGCCAGTTCCACCGGCCGCATGCGCTGCGTCATCTGCCACCGCGGATTCAACTCCCGCAGCAACCTCCGCTCCCACATGCGCATCCACACCCTGGACAAACCCTTCGTCTGCCGCTTCTGCAACCGCCGCTTCAGCCAGTCCTCCACCCTCCGCAACCACGTCCGGCTCCACACCGGCGAGCGCCCTTACAAGTGCCAGGTCTGCCAAAGTGCCTATTCCCAGCTGGCTGGCCTGCGGGCCCACCAGAAGAGTGCCAGGCACCGGCCCCCCAATGGCTCCCTGCAGTCGCATTCGCCGGCCCTGCCTGTGCCGCACCCCACCTCCCTTGCTCACCACATCCCCACCATGGTGCTGTGAGGTCGGGAGGAAGCCCCCTGGCACTGCCGTGAACTGGTGGGGACCAAGGCATTGGTGAGCGCGCAGGGGAAAGGGGCAGGGGGATTTTTGTGGTGGACCCATCCAGCAGCGGCTTCTAGTGGGGCTTGGCAAATGGAACTTCCATCTTCAGGCACACGTCTACCGTCTGAACAAGAGGGGGGCAGGGCGGGGCCTCTGGGCCCTGCTTTCAAGATTCCCAGCAGCCTTTGGCTGCCCACTGTCAGAAACAGAGCACCGGGGAGGGATTAATGGACCTTTTGGTCTGGTCGGGAATGATGAAGGGATTCTGCTCTGGCAAAGTCTCATTATTCCTAAGTGTGAGAACTAGGTGGGGGACTCTCTTATTTTTTTATTTTAATATTTCAATATTTCCATCCAAGTTCCTTGGGTGATTTCCACCATCTTGGTTTCTTGTTCATGATGTGAGGCCTGTATGGTCCTCCCTATTTTGCCCATTGACTCAGGCATCCAAGTTAGATATATTTCTGGGGACGAGTAAAGAGGCTGAGTGTAAGATGAAGCCATGGCAAAAATGGAGAGAAAAGTAAATGGTAGAGGAATAAGCACTTATTCACATCATTCTTAAGTTTAAAGCAGGAATAGGGAACGAGATGTTGCTGGACTCCATTATCCTAAACCGTTGGTCATCCTCCAGGGCTAGACAAGGTGAGATCTCTTCCTATGGTAGCAGGATCTACCAGGGCAGCAGATGTAAACTTGCCATACGTCAGGAAAATTCCTGACATGTCCTGGTTTGCAGGTGTAAAAATGGCATCGGGGGGGGGGGGAGAGAATTTTGCCAAATCGTCAAAATGTCAGAGAAAACCCGGATGTAGGGCAACACAATGGAAAAAGCAGTGGAAACAGCTCAAAAAGCTTAAAATCACTATTATTGGGTTAGGTTTCCTCAAAAAAGCTCAACAATTTTGGGGTCTTCCTAAAGAAAGTTCACAACTTTGCGGGTGTCAGGAATTTTAAGCAGATCCCAATGTCAATATTTCTTTCCGCCCCTTGTTCCTGAAGTAGATCTTCCCTCCCCTCTTCTTCCTTGGCAGGGAGGGGGGTGTTATTTTGGAGTCAGCTTCAGGTGTCAACACATCTTGGGCCAGCCCTGCCATCCTTGCTGCAGAGGCTGATGGGAGATGGAGTCCAGAAGTATCCAGAGGCCACCACATACCACACATGGCTATTCTAGAGGTTTGGTGATAGTTATCAAGTGATCCCACTTCTCTTCTGGATCCGACAATACCTGCCCACACACTCACAGGCGCCTGCACTCCATTATGGTCCCCTGTGGTAGGATTCAATCCCAGGTTCCTGAATTGAGCTCTGGAGTTCTTAACAGGTAGTTTGTTGGGGCGGGGGACTTCATGGTTGGTGGATGATCCAGCCAAACTGGACAGGGTTCTGGGCTCTTGGGCTCTTCACACCTTCTCCAGCTCTGAATTCAGGTTGACCCCTGTTGCTTTCTGCCGTAGATGTGAATTGTTATCTCCACTGAAAAGCTGCATGCTCTCTTTGACCTCTGGTGAAATTCTTACGGATCAGCTATTGACAAGAGTTTCAGCACCACTATAATCCCAGGCTAACTGCTCCCATCACAGATGGACTGTGAAGTAGGAACATAACTTTAGAACAAATCAAACTATTTGTCCATCAGTATTGTCTACTCTGACCGAACCTCTCTCCATCTCAGTCCTCTTTCTCTCTCCATGGCAATCAAGATTGTTTGTAAACTCTGCATCCAATAAAGGAGGCATTTGTTTCTGTTCTGTTTTTGTAAAATATACATTTTTTGTAATAGTAACTATTGATGATGATATCTATTCCTATTGTAAGGAGATGATATATAGAGTTGTCTCACAAATGGTGTTCGACTTCCATGAAATGCTGGTCACTTTAACATTGTAAATATAAATCTGTGTAAAACGCTATTTGATATTATATATAATTTGATTGTATTATGTACACAGTTGTATATACATCTTTGTACCTCTCTCATTCTCTCTTGTATTATAATGATAATAATAAAAACAACCCACCACAAATTACTGGCGATGGAAGATATGTAGATACTTCAGAGTTTACATTATTTAATTTTTTTAGAATTGGTGTGATTCAAAGTCCCAGATTAAAACCGCTTCCCTGCCATGAATAATGGAAGGTAATTAATACTGGCGTACTTTACAGGAGCATTGTACCAATTTGTTCCTTTGTCCAAAGCATTTATACACAAGTCGCAGTTGCTTACTGGAAATGAGAGGAGTAGCGGGCGAGATGGCAATGTGGTACAAATGCATTGGTGCAACCTATCTGGCACTCCTGATGGTGAGTTTGCACTACACTGACCTCCCCACTGCTTTGCTTCAATATAACTTTACTATAGCTTAAATAGTGCTATTCTTATAGAAAAAGAGATGCCAGAACTTACCATTAACACCTCCCTCATTCTCTTAGAATGGCCATACATACTCTGTTTAAAAACTCCCAAGGAAAGAGGAGGTGGCCAGACACAAATCGTTCAGGGGTGTGTGTGTGTGTTTTTGTGTGTGGTGTTTATATATTAAGGGACATGTAGTAAAATGTTGTGTAGAGAAACATTTGTGGGATATAAGGTAAAATGAGAGCAGTGGGTGGACTATGAGAGGAGGATAGAACCTTGGGGTGTGCTGCATGCTGATTGGCTGAGGATGGAGTGTGATAGGCAGGTGACAGTTGGGACAGATGTGTGTGACAGTTAAAGGCAGTTGGGCTTTGGAGGGAGGAGGGAGGAGGGAGAATCCAAGAAATCCATTTCCTCAAGACATGTTTGTGGCTTAGACAAGCTGATTTGTCTCAGGAGGGCAGTTTGGTCCCAGGGACACCAGTTGCCAATCCTGATCTCCACGGAAGAAAGGCCTTGACAGACTCATCTTTGGGAAGGAGCGAGGAATCTGCTCTGCTGAGGTCTTCCAAAATTTGGCAGTTGTGGTCCCAGCCAGTGTCAACAGATACAAAATCAGTTCCTTGTTATATACAAATTCAAAAGAGCCAGACAAGGGGAAGGGTGAACTGTTGGCCCAGTTATCAAAAAGATCTCAGAAAATACTTTGGTCCAGGACCCTTTGTTTGGTGCCGTCCTGCCAGATATGCCTGTGCGTCTCAGGAACCTGGCATGGTGGGGAGGCACCCCTATGTGTACAAAATAAATTCATTGTGATGTCAAATAGCAACCATGTGCCATTTGCAGGGAGAGGTCCCTGGTTTGAGCCGAAAGAGAAGAGCTTTCTCCCATCTTATTCATGTATCTGAACTTGCCTGGGAAGTCTCTTGTCACCATAGGCATAGCCAGAGGGGCAGGGAGGGGAAGCTGACCCCCATCAATAAAAACCAATAAAAATACATAGCAAACTGAGGTCCTGCCCCCAAAATGAAAGGCCCCCCCTAACCAAAATCCTGGCTATGCCCATGGTTGTCATTCTTTTTGGCTGGACTTAACTTGGCAAGATCTCCCTCTCCCCTGTCTCAAGGTCTTTGATGATGATGATGATGATGATGATGATGATGATGATATTATTATTATTAATACCCCGCCCTCCCCAGCCAAGGCCAGGCTCAGAGCCTTGATGAGGACTCCGTCTGGGTGGAAGGGAAAGGGAAAGAAGAGAATGGCCACTTAAGGGATGGGAAACCCCTGGAGCTGCCATACCCCACCCTCCCAAGCCCAAACTGCCCCTATTCTGTTGGCTACCAAAAGATGCTTCTTTCAAGCCTGATTTTGGTGGGGGTGAGAGGTGAACCTGTGGGTGCCAGTGGCTGTCTCTCTGGCCCCCAAGGTCCCCTTGGGGGGCATGTTGGCATGTCCTATCCAAGGACTGCCCCCCACTGGCTCCCAGAGCTCGGCTTTAAATGCCAAAGATGGTGGAGGCTGAGGTACCCTTCCCAAGTTCGCCCGGCCACATGAAGATCATCTTCCCAAGGGGCTCCACCGTGAACCTCCTCAAAGAGTGGAGCTCCAACAGTCGGCCCTGGGCTGGCAACTCTACAGGTGAAACAAAGGGGGAAATGTCAGAAATAAAGTAAAATACAAACTAACCACCTCTGCCTTCCTCCAAGTCTCCTCGAAGCAGAGGTCAGTCTCCTCCAGACTCCATTATCGTCAGAGTCTTACAGACCTCGCAATCGTCTTCCTCTCAGCAACAGAACAATTGCTCACCTGAAGGCTTAAAGAATGGATGGTTTTTTAAAATGTTTAAAATGCAAATATATTAGACATCAAAGTCTGGGACAATAGGTTCGGCTGGCACAGTTATCTGGGATATAATAAAGTTAAAATTCAAGGACGATTCCTCAATCACATAAGAAGGAAATCTCTATTTACTGTATGGGAAAGAAATAAAAAATTACTGGAACACAAAACCCCTTGGTGGTTGTCACCGGTAGAGGCAACAGCAGTGAAAAAGAAAAACATGGCTATCAATTGGCTAACATACAAGGAAATATTAGAAGAAAACAACCAATTTAAAATTAAAAAATACGAAGAACTAAAGCAGGCATGTGTGAACTGACTACAATATTACCAGGTAAACAAAAATTTTAAATCAGACAAAAAAATTAATGGATTTGACACAAAGATATTGGATAATAATAATAATAATAATAATAATAATAAAATTCTCGGTTTAAAAACCGGGCTCAGGGTGGCTAACAGGAAATATAAAACATTGATTAAAATATGACTTTAAAACAGCATAAAACAGCATAGAATACAACATAAAATGCAGCATCAATGTCAATAAAATTCTAAAATTCAGGGGTCATTTTTTTGGGGGGGGGGCCCAGTCAGTAGACATCAAATGATCACTGGGGCTAACTGGCCAAGTTGGTCCTACTAGGGCCAGCAAGGAGACCAGGGAATAATTTAAATGTGTGGTCCCAGAAAGGGTTTCTTCATAGAAGAGGAAAGGGAAAAGGGAATAGAGGATCAGGCTAATTCAAATTGAAGGCCAGGCGGAATAGCTCTGTCTTTCAGGCCCTGCGGAAGGAAATCAAGTCCTGCAGGGCCCTAGTCTCATGGGACAGAGCATTCCACCAGGCTGGAGCCGTCACTGAAAAGGGTGAAAAGAACTATTATTAAATAATAAAAATATATTATCAAAAACATACAGCTTATTAGTGGATTGAAACTGTTGGATAGTGGAAAAGATGGACGAAGGACACAGCTCTGTTGGATTCACGGGAGCGACAGTTTTCAATCCTTCTGGTGGCCCTGAGTGAGAACTGCAACTAATCTTAATACATAACACCCCTCCCCACCTAGATGAGGTGTTAGGCTCCCCCAATCCTTAATTGTTACAACCATATACGCTAGCCACGGATTTGATTAGAATTACAGGTACTTCATACTGCGTAATCTTTCAGGTAGGCTGCACGTATATGAGTCCGGGTAGAACACCGAGGTATCACTGGAGGGGCAGCCAAGCTGCTAGGGCCCAATGGCACGCTCCCCCCCGGGGACGCAGGTGTATGGCTCGGTTCGGAGGCTTCTATGTCGGCTTCTGTGGCGGAGGCTCTGGACTGCGGTAAGGTTTCTGGTACAGATGGGCTGTACGCTGGAGTTTCCTCCCCAGCCTCTCTTGTTTGAACTTCAGCAGTACTGCCCGGGCTGCCGGAGGCACTGTCCCCCCACCCCAATCCCCAGCCTGGGGGTGCAGTTGGTCAATGTTCCGGCTCCATATCCATCCACAGTCCAAAGCCACCTGATATGACTTTGGCCCTGTAACCCCAACCACCACAACCGGCACCCAGAGAACCTCCCCCACATAGTTCCGGGCAAATACCTTCTCTTCCGGAATGAAGGCACGTGGCGTGCTAGCACAGCCTGGGGAATCTGTCACTGCGAAATCTGGGTGCAGTCAGTCGAGAGGAGATCGCAGGTGGCTGCCCATCAAAAGTTCAGCTGGGCTCCGGCCTGTTGTTGTGCACGGTATGATGTGTTGTACAAACATGTACTAGGCTACCCGTTCATGCCAGTCCCCCTGTGCCATACGTGCCAATGCTTCTTTAGCCGAGTGAACAATTCTCTCTGCCTGACCGTTGCTGGCTGGATGAAATGGGGCTGTCAGAGCGTGGCAGATGCCCCGGCCAAGGAGGTAGTGCTCAAATGTGCCTGACGTGAATTGGGTTCCATTATCCGATACGAGAACGTCTGGCAACCCATGTGTGGCAAAAAGCCTCTGCAGCACTCGGATAGCAGCTTCTGAGGTGGTGGAGGACATTAAAACCACCTCCAACCATTTAGAATATGCATACACTACCACCATAAAAGTGTGCCCGTGGAAAGGCCCCACTAAATCGATATGCACCCTTGACCATGGTGCCTTGGGGGTCTCTCATGAGTTCCCACGATGCACAGGTGGATCAGGTCTTGACTCCTAGCATGCCTGGCATGATTCGACCCAGGATATGATGACTTTGCCCATGCCCAGCCACCAAACAAAACTGTGTGCCAATGCCTTCATGCGCACAATTCCTGGGTGCCCAACGTGGAGTGCATGAAGGACTCGCTGACGAAGCTTGGTTGGAATGATGACCCAGTCTCCTCATAGGAGACACCCCCGGTGAGCAGAGAGCTTGTGCTGCCGTTGAGTGAAATGCTGGAACTCTGGATCAGTTGGCCTTTTTGGTCACCCCTCCACACCCAGTTGAGAACGCGGCTGATGGTGCGATCCTTGGAAGAATGGAGAGTGACGTCAGCTGCTGACAGAGGAAATGCAGGCAGCTCCTCAATCAGGAGTACTGCTGATGAAGGTGCCAGATCTTCAACCAGCGTCGGCAAAGGCCAGCCGCTAAGTGCATCGATGTGCCCTGACAACTTGCCTGGTCGGTATAGGAGCCGATAGTTATAAGCCGCAAGGAAAAGAGTCCAGTGTAGCATTTGTGGCGATAAAATCGGGGGGTGTTGGTGTTGGGCGGTCACCAGCCAGGATACCCAGAAGAGGTTTGTGGTCTGTGACGAGGTTGAAAGCTCTGCCATAGAGGTATTCGTTAAAACGCTTAACTCCTGCCACAGCGCCAGCACCTCCTTGTCAAGCTGACTATAGTTCCTTTCTGCTGACGACAAGGTTCTCAAAAAGTATGCGATGGGAGCCTCTCTGCCATCAGGGAAAACATGGCCGAGAATGGCCCCGACACCGAAAGGTGAAGCGTTGCAGACTAGGACGAGGGGACGCTCCTCGTTGTACTGGGCGAGGACAGAGTCTGACATTAATAGTGTCTTTACAGCCGCAAAGGTGGCAACTTCCCGGAGGCCCCATGACCACGATGCCTTTTTGGCCAGCAGTCGATGGAGGGGCTCAGCAATGGTTGCTTTGTGTGGCAGGAACATGTTATAGAAGCTCAATAGACCTAAAAAGGCCTGCAAGTCCTTCTTGTTTTGTTGTTTGGAAGCCTGTTGTATAGCTTTGATCTTTGCTTCCGTGGGGTGAATGCCGGAGCTGTCAACCAGGTATCCCAGGAACTTGACTTGTGGTACAGCGATCTGGGATTTCCCTCTTTTTACTTTGAGACCTGCTTCTTGGAACCTGGTCAGGACATCCCGCAGCCGATCAAAAAGCTGTTGTGTTGTTCCCACTGAGACGAGCACGTCATCAAAGTAAGGTACGACGCCAGGCAGACCCTGTAGGAGCCACTCCATTAAGCTCTGGAAAATTCCCAGTGCCACGCTGACTCCAAACTGCAGCCAACATCGGAAGGCCCCACGGTGCATGGCGATTGTCTGTGCCTCAGCAGTGGCATCATTTACCAGCAGCTGCTGGTATGCCTGAGAGCAAGGTTGAATTTTGCAAAAACCTTGCCCTCTCCCAGTGAGTGTAGTAAGTGTTGGACGACAGGGTGGGGGTACTCATGCTGTTGGAGTGCCTTGTTTATCGTGCACTTATAGTCAGCTCAGATGCGCACTGACCCATCACGCTTGATGGGCGTCACAATGGGAGTCTCCCACTTAGCTTTGTCTACGGGTTCCAGGACCCCCTGTGTGATCAGCTTGTCTAGTTGTTCATCCACCTTAGGGTTGAGCGCAAATGGTACGCATCAAGGCTTGACTCTGATGGGTGTGATTAGCAGATCGAGGTTAAAGGATATGGGCGACCCCACATACTGTCCCAAGGTTCCATCAAACACTTCTGAAAACTCTGTGACGATGGCGTCTATTTCTGACTGTGAAACACTGTGGATGCCTTTAACTTCCAACCCCAGGGATGTAAACCAGTCCAGTCCCAGCAGGCTGGGACAATTTCCATCGACCACGACTAACTTCAGTGGTCCCAAAAAGTCCTTGAAGGTCACTTTGAACTTGCCCACACCTACAACCGGAATGTTATTTCCCTGATAATCCCTCAAATGCAGGTAGGTGGAGTCCAGTTGTTTCTTAGATAATTTGGGAATCAACCTTTTGATGGTACTCTAAGAGACGTTGGACATGGCAGAGCCCGTGTCGACTTCCATGGTTTTCCCTCAATAGTCAATCTGCTGGCATAGACGAGCAACAAACCTTCGCAATATGACCCTTACATGAACAATGCCGACAGATGGCGTCCTTGAAACTGCATTTGGACCGAGGATGATTGCCACTGCAACCCGCACAGTCTGACTGGTCCATCGTTCACCGTTTGACCTTTCTGCGTTCCTGCTTGATGCGGCAAACATCATCTTCTTCGTCTGAGCAGCCCTCGGATTCATTGATCTCTCCACGGTGGACTGAGGTTGGCTTCTTTGAAATTGTTGGGCTGTTGGCCTTGCGGATCTCCGCTGTTGATTGTTTCGCTGCCTCTGCAGCTTGAGCTTCCTTGATGGCCTGTTTGAGAGTGAGATTGGACTTGGCGAGGAAACGGCGCTGTAGTTTCTCATCCCTCACACTGCACACGATTCAATCCAGCAGGGCATCGCTCAAGTCCTGCAATTCACAGTGGTATGCAGCCTTCCTGAGGGCCAATAATAATTTGTTGTCTCCCCCTCAGTTTGGATTCCATGATGGAACGTGGGAAGGGCAGCAATTCTGGACACCTTGGGTGCGTAGTGTCCCTTGAGTTTCTCAGTCAGTGTGTCCCAGCAGTTCAGCTCTGGCTGCATCTTGTTTCATCCTATCCCATCTTCGTCGCCAGTGTTGAATAGTGGAAAAGATGGACGAAGGACACAGCTCTGTTGGATTCACAGCTCTTTATTACAGCAGTTAGAACTGCTGCTGGAATCACTGACTGCAGCCTAGCTGGTTGCTTTATATAATACTAAGTAACTTGTAACAGTAACAACTCACAACTAGATAACCAATCAGGAACGATAGTTTTCAATCCTTCATTTACATACTGGTGGCCCTGAGTGAGAACTGCAACTAATCTTTTTTTTTTTTTTTGGTAATATTTTTTATTAGTTTTCATCAAGAAAAATACATATCGCACCACATTACAACTTTAACAAATTTTCTCATTTTTGGACTTCCTTCAGCCTCTCTGACAATCATCCGAATTAGACTTTTTAATTACACATTTCCTAAATTTTCTATTGCCTTTTAACATACCCTTCCACACCTGTTTTTCTTTCTTACAATATTTCTTAGGTTTTTACAGAGCTTCTTTAAATGCCACTAACGTTATTTCATTATCACTTATACATTCCCAATA